AGAAGTCGTTATTTAATTTAATCTGGCTTCGTATGATTAAAAGCAACGCAGTCCCCGACCCGTTGTTGTTGTGAGGTGAGCTCCGGCGTTGGGGAGAAACTCAGCGACGTAAACTGTGACGTCATGACGCAGCAGCGGCAGCACCAGTCGGGCTCTGAGCGGTGTGAAAAGAGCCGGCGCTAAACCGAAGAACCGGTTCTGAACCAGAAAAGCTCTAGCACGGAGCTTGAACCGGAGTTGCGTTGGTGTGAAAGGGGCATAAGTTATCTCAGTGGATCTCAAACGGTTTGGTCACAAATTATTCAAAAGATTATTTCCGCGGCACACCTTCATATGATCATTATAGTTATAAAAAAAATAAGAGAATAAAGGAAAAACAGTTATGAAATACTATATGGCAGTAAAACAAGAATAGAGTTTAAAAGGGGAGTGATTAGTAAAATATCCATAAAGAAAAAGTAAATCTGTTTACAGTTCTGTTTCATATGGGTGTTGAGAGAGGTATCCATAGATCTCTTCATTTTGCTCTCAAAGTGCACCAGATTGATGCTTTTAACTTCAATATTTAAAAAAAATCTTCCCCGGGGGAGCAGCCCCCCGGACCCCCCTAGAGGAGGCCACTTTACCCCTGCCTATATGCCGTGAGCTGATTATCGAGCCTTCATTGTAACAGTCGCGGGTGTACTGTGTGTGTGCGTGTGGGGAGTGTTGCAGTAGAAAATGCCACTGTAGTGCCGCCCAGAGTTCCCGTTAGCCGGTAATTACCGGACAATGACCGGTAAAATATGCTGAAGTCCGGCAAATCTAAATCTCTCCGGTCAAAATGTCCGGTCAAAATAATTTTCCCTTAGCGCAATACCGCATCAGTTGCGCCACTTATGTGACAGACAAGAATAGTATGTGACAGACAAAAGAGTATGTGACAGACAAAAATTGTCAATTCTAATGTCTAACACTTAATGTGGAGAAAGAGATGTCCTGTATGGGTTGATTGTGCGTTGATCTGTTGGTAATGCCTCGGGGTTCCGGTGGGCATGTAAACAAATGCATAATGCTGCGCTATACTTTGTGGCCTCATCCGGTTGCATAGCGACGCTTATTGTTTAGGTGTCTTTTAACAAGCAGGTAGTCATATCATTAGCTAGAACTAGCTAGATCTGATCGATATGGACATAAATGCGAGTAAAGTCTAATCTGACAGGAGAGAGAGATCGGCTGCTGCTGACGAGTCGACACGCAGCTCTGCATGATCCCCTGCAGCGGCGAGCAGAGCAAAACACACTTCAGGTTAGAAAATCACACGTAGCTATTTTAATTACCTCTCAAACTACCTAAACTAGTTATAGATATGTTTAGTTTTACTGTCGGGTCACTCATTACTGGATCCGCGAGCTGCATGATACTGACGGGCTGTCAGGAGAAGGAGAGAGCGCTCCGTTTATTATTCCCGCGTTTTTGTAAATTACTGTACACTTTTGAATAATGTAGTTAATCTACTATAATTAGTTTGTTTAATGTCGAATCATATCAATTTGTTTTAAAGCTCAATAAATAACAAAGAAGACCTTTAACCGGCACTTATCTAATTTTGTCCGGAAGATTTCAACTTTAACGGACATGTTGACCGGCAAAAAAATATTCTAACGGGAACTCTGGTGCCGCCGCCACTGTGGGCTAAGCCCCGAATGTTTTCAGGTCCAGGCGACGCCCCTGCCTCAGACACCATAAAATACTATTTATGGTGTGATTCTGTTCAGTGTAATTTATGATATCAATATCAAACCTATACAGATATCAGCTTTCTATGCTCAGGCTCAGTCTTTTGATATTAAAAAAGCTTTAGAGGTACTTATAACTCACTCCTTGGGAAAGCTTGATAACATTATAATGTTTCTTCTCTTATTAAATCTGTAAAAGCACTGGGTGTAAGCACCTGGCCGTGATGCGAGGTAAATATTGCTGAGCGTCAAGTCTTTTCCCATTGTGGGAAATATATTGTTTTTCTCTCTCTCTCTCAATTAAGATTCTTTGCAGTTGTTTAAAAAAACGTTTAGCTCACAAACAACGAGATAAAGAACACATTTTCTGACATAATGTGACAAGCACAACTCCTGTTACTTTTTTTTCATGTACCTACATTGTACATTTGACACAATGCACCAGGGCTGACATTTTCCCATCTCGACAATATTTGGATTTACAGCAACATTTTGTTATTGTCACAGCCGTAAATAATGAACCAAAGCGGTGTTGTTCTATTGAGTGGTTTCAAATTGTGTTTTATAAATTAGAGGCTGTTTCACTACATTTTAAGTCTTCCTAATCAACTTGCTCCCGGGAGGTTTCCATCCTACTGAGGTTTAAATATCACCACTGAGACTCATTATCTTGTTAAACTGCACAGAATCAGGCAATGTGGATTTTCTTTGCTGATGGGACTATTGAGTCGGAGAGGATGTTGACCTTGACACAGTAAAACATTACTTTGATTCTTTTTTCTACAAATGTTATCACAGCGTGAGTGGGCTGTGTGCTTTGTCCTGGTTTATTAGAACAAATGTTTCCTCGGCTGTGACTCATCTCTGGAAACCAAATATATATATCTTTGCATGCAGCAAAATGAATATGAGGAAGTAATTCAGTATTTAGGATACCCAGCTTATGTTCTATGTGTAGGACGGTAAGAGCACTTTGAAGCCGCCTAAAAAGCCTTTCCAAGCCTTTCCAAGCCTTCCTCTTACTGTCTGCACCCATAAGAGGCTTTTTAATAACATAGGATTTGTCATGCAAGTGTGCAAAGAGACGAGTGAGTAAGGAGAGAAGAGACAAAATAAGTTGTACACTGTGATTCAGGAAAATAGCCACAGTCTGTCTCTTTGTCTGCAGACGGCCATGAGAGAGTATTGCATCAATCACAGCTCTCCTTCTTATTCTCATTCACAGAGCGCGCTCAGCTTTGATCGCAGTGTTTCAATATTGTGGCCGTATCCTTTCTGTCGTTCCTTTTTGCAAAGAGATCATTGATCTGATTATCCCCTGGCAAATGCAACGTGTCTCACTTTGACCTAAAAAGGAAAGCAGGAATGAATCCACCGTAGAGAAAGTGTTTGCGGTTACTGTACAAAAAGCGGGTGTCAAACGCAACCCCCAGCCCCAATTCTAACATCTCTAGCATGGCCCATTGTGAATGTGATGTCAGCTACACCCTCTCATCCTCCACCCAAGGGAGACTACCATCAGGGGCCTTGAGAGGAAGCCCGTGATTGGAGCTTCCTGTTATCTCCTAACCACAGCAACACCTCTGGCAGGCCCCCCTGTTTCTGAAAAAAAATATGGCAATATGTGTGAAAATGTGTGTATCTACTTAGGTGTACATGTGCCTGTGTGTGTGTGAATGTCAAGTGGTGTATTTGTATGCGTGTCTCAGAGTGTATGTGCGTTTGTGTGATATAGGAGGTGTGGATGCAAATATTTGAGAGAAACCACAAACACGGGTGCTGTGTGTGTATAGCGCTGTGTGTGTGTGTGTGTGTCTGTGTGTGTGTGTGTGTGTGTGTGTGTGTGTGTGTGTGTGTGTGTGTGTGTGTGTGTGTGTGTGTGTGTGTGTGTGTGTGTGTGTGTGTGTGTGTGTGTGTGTGTGTGTGTGTGTGTGTGTGTGTGTGTGTGTGTGTGTGTGTGTGTGTGAAAGAATGAAGGGCAGTGGCATGACATTGAATATGTTGCTGCATGTGAGAAGTGGTCATGTTTGTGTAGGTATAATCATTAAATTGAATTTGGTGCAGTACTCTGAGATTTCACATCTAATAAAGTGGCAGAATGGAGTAGAAGCCATATATATATATATATATAAGCACTCCATACTAGCAGTTCCACATGTTTATGGCTGGGATTTGTACAGCTTGTGCTCAGTGATGTTAAGTAAGACGATAACACAATGACCAAGGGTGTGTAAACTACTACACTCATGTTTCCTCTATGTTTTTACTGTAATGACATTATTCCAATGAAGAATTCCATCAAGCCAAGATAAAAAATCTCCATCTTCCCAAGTCATTTAATATCATATAAATCAAAAATCCAGTGAAAGAAATATGCCAGTGTTGGAAAAACGGTTCAACCTGTTCCATTAGTGTATAAAACAACTCATAAGCTTAAAAGCTTCACTACTAAAACGTTTTATTTCAACAATGGATGGATTTAGCTGCTTAAAAGTCAGATATTTTCCTATCAGGTTGGAAACTGTGGTACAGTAAATACTATGCATTTGATTGAGTTGGTCACAAACTCCTGACAACGTTGATGTTGCTCTGTGTCAATAGAATTTGTGAAAATAGGAAACTGATGTGACACACTCACCATATCAAATACATAAAACGAGTACGTAATGTGTAAAAGATGTGATTTCACTATACAATTCCTGTAAACTTGTTGCTCACATGTCAATCTTATCCACTGTGCTTCTCTGAAAGCTGCAGCTTCTTATCTTGACTGTTACCAGCACTGACCGACCACTCTGCCCTGAGAACTGTTTGAGAGCTACAGCACCAGCAGAGCCGGTCTTGCCGGGTTTGTAATACAACTAGAAGCTTCTGGAAAACTCACTGGAAAGTCTCACATCCTCATGCATTATTAATAGCGCCTTAAGCTTTCCTTGTGCTGGGAATGACAAAACAAAAACCAGAGGTAGCAACTGTGTGGCATAATACTGAAGGGAGGATTGTGTTGGATTTGAATTCCACTAGCTTGTCATGCAGTGAGTCAGCCTTTGATGTCCCGTCAGCGTGTTGGCGGGGAATAGCAATTAGCTTCTAATAAATGGAGTCGGGGGTGAATCCTGTCCCTGATGGTTAGTGAGGAGCAGAAAGTTAAAGGTTAGGAATCCGAGGCTACGGCTCTGTGCCTGCATGAGTGTTTGTGTACTCAATTTTAACTTCTGCTAGGTTTAATTAATTGAAAAGCAACATTACCGGTTGAGTGGTAAGGTCAGGCAAAGGACTTACATTGGCAGCTCATTTTTCAGAAGCACCGATCTGAGTAGGAGGAGGTTTTCCTGAAAGAGATACAAGGAAAAATGTGTCAGCGTTTATGTATGTCACTAACCACTACAACCATGTCATGCTTTATTTACTTACAAGAAAAAAAATGGGCATCTTTTGGCTAAAGACACACAAACACACACACAAATATGTGATGAGTAGGCTTTGCCATGCAGCATTGCGAATTGGGTTAAAATGATCAGATTGAGACCCAGTGCTTGAGGGCAGCTTGTGTTCAGGCTCAGGCCAGTGAAGTATCTGCGAGCAGCTCCACCTTGTTGTCTACTTTACTATTCCTTGCCCTAGTTTATCTCTCCCTTTTTCCTCTCCCACACCTTCGAGGGTAGTACACAAGCACTGACTCGCTTTAGCACATTTCGATCACGGCTGTCTCCCACTCATCCATATTCCAGTCGCTTTTATAACACTGCAGTGTTCCAGAAACTATGACAATGTTGGATCAGGGCTCTTGTCTGCACACACTCCCCACGAGTCCTGTCTGGTAACACTGCAGAGTCCACACTGAAGAGTTTGATCAGTGCACGTTGTGTATAAGTGTGTGTATGTCGGTGTGCCTTCGGACATCTAAAGTATTCACATGTGTATGCTTGAGTTTATTACGTTATCTCCTTAAGCCTAGATGCTTGCTTTAAGTGTACATCATAATCCTGTCAATCACATTTCAAACACTTTCTTTTGATCATGTCCAATGTCAGAGAAGGACTTGAAGCTTCTCAGCACCAACGACATAAGGCCCATACTTTGACAAGAGCCATCTTAACTCCAAAGGGAAAGACTCTGAGGTCATACATCAAACTGCATCCCGCTCTTATTTTGCATTATGGATTCCTCTCCCTCGAATATTCAGTGAGAAGACGCCTTTCATTAGTTTCACAAGCACTCAAATTCACAGCGCCTAGAAAGGTATAACTCTGATATTAATATTAAAATTAGGCAGTGTTCAGCGTTTTATGGCTCTGTTTTATTCTTTTACATATTTCCAACTCCCAGCATGAAAACTGTTGGGTATTCTCTTTGATTTGTTGGGGCATTCATCTGTTGGTAGTCTTTGATGGTGGCACATAAACAACACACATATTCAGCAGGAAGAAAGCAACGGTATCCACATTGGAGCCTGATTTAGTTTTTTATTAAACCACAAAATAGGCTGTTTCTCCTGTCTTCTAAAATCACCCATGTGTTTTAAGTGCTTGAACGAAGGACCAATGCTGTGATTTTCTAACAGATATGGACTGTCCATATCAGGTTCCAGGTTGTAAACTGCCGATGGTCATACTAAAAAGGGCCAATGTGAAGTCAAATCTTCATAACTATGGTTTACTAGCTATGTTTCCATAGGTGTATAGTCTTCACAAGTGTGTCGTAACCTGCATCTAAGAATATTTCCGTTTTTTGTTATCTTACAATAAGCCTTTCATATCTACATAGGGAACGGTTCCTCCACTGACTCCAACATGTTTCAACAGTATCTCCTTCACGCTTTATTTGTTTAAAGGAAGGGTCTTGAAAGATACAATTTCAGTCTTTTAAATAGAGGAGTGAGAGGTATTCAGTTGGATGCAATCTGGAATGTTAGATGCCATCAAATCCAACAAACTGTCCCGCCAAAGGGACATTTAACAAAGTCTGAACATGTTGACTGAGGAGTTGGGAAATATAAAAGCAGGATGGACTGAAATGAAACCAGGAGACAGGTGGCAAATGTTAAGCTGTCCCTCTGTTTGGCTTTAATATCATGATACTGCCAGCTGAAGCGGCTGCCCTTCAGCCAGCTTTAGAGGTCCCTTCAGCCTATTGGCTGAGCGCCCCCGTACTGAACCGACATCCTGCACCTTCTGGACCAATCCTGTTTTCCGCTGTAGCACAAAGCTTTTCTGATATGTTTTTGTCTTCTAAAAGTAATATATTAGATGTATGTTTATGATCTGTTTTATTTATTTATTGTTGGTTGTATCGTTGACCTTGCTAATGTTATCCTCATTTTGCATAAGGTTTTCTTCTCTTTCTTTTATTCAGTCATACATGCAAGGTTTTAAAAAAAAAAAGGTTTTGTTGCTTTTGGTGTTGTGAATACGAGAAATAAGTAAAAAAATTAAAAACAGTTTGCCACCGTGGTTAGCTTTGACTTTTGGGATAGAATCAGCAAACACAGTACTCAACAGTGCTGTGACCTTTTGCACTAAAATGTCAAGAAAAACTGCGCACGCACACGCACGCGCACACGCACACGCGCACACACACACACACACACACACACACACACACACACACACACACACACACACACACACACACACACACACACACACACACACACACCACACACACACACACACACACACACCACACACACACACACACACACACACAGCTTCACAGTGTTAAAGGTCATCTCATATTAGATACAAGAAGAAGAATGACAAGAACAAGAGCAAAATCCACCTGTTAGTTATTATTATTATTATTATTATGAATAAAATCAATTGTAGAGAATCAAAGTGATTTTTTTTTAAAGAAATTGACTGCAAGTGTATAATTAAAAATGGTGAATGATAATGGGTAAACCAATTCTCCATAACTTTATCCACGTACAGCTGGAGCCACATAAGAAGGCCATTAGGTTTCCTAACACTTCCTGGGAGAAATATTTCAAAGCACAGATGAAGTTGAAGAAGACAAACCAAGGACACTTTATGGAGTTTTAAGGACTGACTGATTCGGGAACAGGAATTCAGCCAAACCACTCTTCTCCCGCTTCATCGCACACTGGAGATTGGAAGGACTAATGTCAAACTGCACATCAGGGCACCAGGTTTGAAGGGGCAGAGTAAGATAAATAAAATGAGATTGGGAAACAGATTGAGGCATCAGGCCAGAGGGATCTGATGGTTGGGCCCTTCATTTGGGAAATGCATTATAAATATCTGTTCATTGGCTGTGCAAAATCTCTCTCACTGATGGAAATTGGCTCCAATTGAGAAACAATTACATTTGATTAGATGTTTCGGATTTTCCATCTGAATTGATTGCATTGATGATTCCTTTATACTGCAGCAAATGTCTCAGAGCCGGGCAAACCTAGTTTAGAATAAAAAACAATATTAAGCAAACATTTCTGCTTGTATCGTTTTTGGATGGATTTCTGTCAAATGTAAGCACATCCTAGAGACAGAGACACTTGCAAGCCAGTAGTGTCTTAGACTTCCTAATCCTTTATTTGCGTTCTTTTCAGCTTATCACTTACAGGTCTATTTCACAAGGTTAAATACAAACTAATGTGTTCATTATTTTAAACACATCTGGTCGGCTGTTATGTCAATGTAACTGGATGATGATGAAAGTTATACTCAGTTACTTGTCTTTTGAAAACTTGTTCTGAATGTCATCTATTTGTAGTCTGTCATTTACTACTTCATTACTAATCTGATTACTGGTTCTCTTCTGAGAGATGAAACAACATATTATTGTTAAACTACCTAATTATTTTTGGATTAATTCCAAAATGCAGTGATGCGAGCCAGAGTTGTGTAATTATTCAGCTTTAAATCAAACAAATCTTTGTTGTCACTTCTTAACCATGAAACCCAATTACTGCAGGACCTGAAGGTCTCTATGTCTGGGTTTATCAAGCAAAACATTGATTATTCAAATGCTGTAACTAAAGTATGGACATTTAAAACAGTTACATAAACGTTAAAAAAAGAAATACTGGTGAAAAAGGCCAACAGACACAAGAGTCCTTCAGAAATCTGTTGGGACATTTCGTGAAGATAAGGATGAGAACTGCTCCTACTTATGCAATTTGTAGTATTCAGTGAGCAGATGGGAGGAAACTTAAGTGTGACTGAGGAGGAAAACCACAAGTGAGGCAGCGTGACAACGCTTTTGGAAAGAATCACACTTTCATTCCAAAAATCTCTGCATGTTATAATTATGCTAATGACTCAGTAGCTGGCAGCGGAAATGGCAACTGGATTAAATGTGGTCACTGCAATAATGGAAGCGTGTGTGTGTGTGTGCGTGCGCACGTGCGTGCGTGCGTGCGTGCGTGTAGATTAGAAATGACAAAATGTATGACAACAACAATTATCATTACAGAATGTTCAGTTATTCATGTTTATTCAAAAACATATTTTTGAATGCCCTCGATCTTAAACAGGGACTCAAAGTAACATCAGTAAACTGTGGCAGATGTGGCAAAAAAAGTACATTAATTTGTTATTTAAAGTTTTAATGAAAAGATGGTGATCAGAAGAAGATCGTCACAACATATACAAAAAACTGTTTTCCGACAACATTTACTCTCTTTCTTTAAAAGCATGTTGCATCTTTGAGTAAACAGGTGCAGCCAATCACAGTGACCTATGACAACAATCTCTCAACAAATGCAACGACGCAGGAACACACAGCAGCACAGATCTGCAGCCAGAGGCAGATGGTGAGTCTTTTTATATGAATGATTTCAGAGGCAAATCAGAGGCTACCGATTTCTCATCATATGTATACAGCTGGCTTCAGAGGGCAGAGAGGAGATTAATTAGACTTTGAATTATTAAACAAGTTCTGAGATATTTGATGTTAAGTTATACATGCCTTCAAACCAAGTCTGGGAAAAGTAAGGCATAACCCTTAAAGGGCCCATGTCATGCTTTTCCAGTTATTACCCGTCCCCTTGTGTGTTATGAAGGTTTTTATGCATGTAAACGGTGTGCAGAGTCACAAACCCTCAAAGTACACCCTGTAGCGAGTAAAACTCTAACACAGAAAAGACCTCCCCAAAACGCCTCGTTGGAGATACGTCATTGTCCATTTGATTCTTCCATTTCGTTCCGGGTACGGCATGTCATGATGTCAAGCCGTACCCGGAACGAAATGGACCAATCCGTGGAGCCGTTACGTTACGTCCGCGGAGCCGTTACGTTAAGCCCCCGCTGATTGGTCCAAATTGACCAATCCACGGACTTCCTCACACACACATCTGTGTGCAGGGAGC